CAGAGGCCAGGTGGCCAGTGGCTGCGGCGAGCCAGCGTCCCCTCCCTGTATGCCAGGGGCCGCAGGGGGAAGTCAGGGCCCCTGAATGCCAGTGCCTGGGGCTGCACCCTGGATGCCCCCTTACCTCACCTGGGGCTTCACCCCTCGGCGTCTGGGCTAAACGACAGCAGGTGTGTGAAACACCCAGAGAAGCCACATCGAACTCCAACACCCATCTCCCACAGACGGGTCGTTCTCACCAGTTCCCACAGAACACGCAGGGTGAGGAATCCTCTCAGACCCCTGTGACCACCTCCCACCTGCCGGAGCCCAGGCCTGCTGGCCCTGCGTCCTGCCCCGGCGCCGCCCACCCTCCACAGCAGGCCCTCCAGGCCCCCCCGGCCCTGGCTCTCCAATAAGACAACTCTGGATGGGCTGCACCGACAGCCACACCAGCAAGTCATGTTGGAGGCATCTTATTCTTCCAGAATATTCCCCCCACAGCTCCCACTTGGGTCCAGCAGAGTCTCTGGGATGCGGGCCCCGGTGTAGCCAGAGCACCCCCCCCACCCCACAGGCACCAACACTCTCCAGTTCTCAGCTGTTTCCTTCCGGATGATTTAAAGCATGGTCCAGCCCAGCCTCAGACAAGAACCCCAGCGCCCCCCCAATGCCAGACCAGTCCACGTGCTAAACGGCCCCTGGGCCTCCCCCTGACGGTGGCCGTGGCTCCCCTAACTCACACGAGGGACAGACAGTCATCTTCCTGGCACCAAACCCTCCTGCACCACCCACCTCGCCAAGAACAAATCAAGGACCACAGACTTGATTTGCCGGCTCACTGCTGTACCAGCTGCCAGGGGAGCGAGCACAGAACATGGGACACATGACTGCGGAGACCTCCCCCGGCTCCGCGGAGACAGGAGGGGCCAGCCCGGGGCGGGGGCCAGCCCGAGTCAGGCCCAGAACCTCGCTGTCCCTTCAGAAGCCTCCCCCAGCAGGGACGAGGAGGTTCGGTGGAGACAACTTGGGGTCCGCTTCTCTTTCTGCCTCGGATCCAACCGAGCTGCGCGGGTTCTGTGGGGAGGGTTGGGCAGGCGCCACGCAGCCATCACGGGAAGCCTGCCTCCTCCACCAGCGACACCACAAAGGAGGTGCCAATTTCGGAGGCCGCCCGAGCGCCAGCAGATGGGTGTTGGGAAACTCAGCTGAGTGCCAGCCGGGCTTGGCAGGCACCTCCATAATGCGGGGACAGTGCCGTCCGAGGCGGGCTCGGCCGCGCGGCCCACATGAGCTGGGTCAGCACAGGACCTAGCCTAGGAGAGTGGGGGCTCGTCAGACGCAGCGTGCACGGTCTGGGGGTTCAGTGAGACAAGCTGTCCACAGTGCTGTTTCTCAAGCCCAAACTGGCCCGTCTCCACACGAGGAGGCTCAGGGTGCCGGGATGTCCACCACCCTGGAGCCGCTCCCGATGCCGGAGCAGTGCACAGCTCCGTCTCCTTGGAAAGCGGCCGCCCCCTGGACCAGCATCAGACCCAGGCCTCACATCCCAGCAGCAGCCTCGAACCCCTTGGCGACAGGAGAGCCGGCTCAAACTGGTCCTGTCCTGTTTCTCGCCCAAGTTGAAACCAGGGATACATCTGTGCACATGTAGCTGCCCCAGGACCCCAAGACCGGACCGAGGCCACAGGAACCCTTTCCGAGGCTTGGGGTGCACTGTCCAGGAGCCCCGGTGCTGAAACCCCTCAGATCCATTCCTTGCCTGTTGACCTCCCAATGGAAGCTTTTTCTTCTTTCTAAAGCCGGGGCCACAGGGCCGTCTTCCACGCAGTCGGGCACCAGGCCTCTGCGGGGCGGTAACGTCTAGCCAGGAGCTGGCTGGCGGGACTGAGAACTGGCCCAGGTGGGCTGAGGGGCAGTGGCCGAGGACACTGTCAGCACACGCCAACCCTGCCTGCTGGGCCCTCCACCCCACTCAGGACGAGGCCTGTCATCCTGCTGAGCCAGTCTCGGCGGCAACACTGACGACAGCCGCCAGCATCCAGAACGTCACACCCACCGGCATTGCATGGAGTGAGTCACACAACCGTTCCCCACGTTACAGACAAGGACACTTGCGGCCCGAGGTCCGGGAGCATCGGGGAGACAGGGTCCAAGCTGAGCTGCCCCGACCTGTGGTCCCCACCCCGCCGCACGAGCCCTAACATGTCCTCTGAGCCGCCTGCACCAGCTACAAGCGGACGTCATGCATGGGGACCCTTGAACAGCACCCTAAGGAGGGGGAATAGACGAGCCGGCCTCGGGGGGTGGCGAGCCCATATCTGTCACTGAAGCTGGTCTATGAATGTCCGTCTTGGCACCGTCCCACACGTATACCTGAAAACATTTCAAATGACCCGTCCGGGAGGTAACCCTCGAAGCATCGTCTTAAAAAGACACAGGCCAATGACCCTCATAAGCTCACCTGTTGAAGGGGCAGCAGCCTCCAGGCCAGAGCCCACCCACTGTCCTAGCCTCTAACAGGACACGGCCTGAGCCCCAGCCAGCCTCCCATCGGCCTCCGGAGACGCTCAGAGGGCCTGGAACGCTGCCGCGTGGCCCTGTCGGTCCTTCCCCCTGCGTGGTCGCCCTCCCCACACCCGGCACCTTCTGTGAAATGCCCCACAGAGCTCTCAGCCCCTGTCCATCCAGCGCGAACAGAGGAAGGACCCTTCGGGGCCTCGGGGCTGGGAGAGGTGGGTCCCAGCTGTTTCTGCTGAGGCCGGCCCACACCTGGGGGTCTCACATCCCCGCTGACTCAGGGAAGGCTCCATGGCTGGGCCCAGAGCAGGTCTGCGGAGAAGCCCCTCCGCAGAGGGCGCAGCCGGAGGGGGACCTGGCCTGAGCCCCATCAGCCCGAGGCCACAGGGCAGCTCCTTCCCTCCCACCTCTGGGACCCACTGGGACACCCCACCTTTCAGGAACCAGGCTTTGGAGACAAGAGGCAAAAGAAAGGTGGCCCAGGAGGGCTCGGCACTGCCCCAACCCCTGGACTCGTCCCCCACCCTCCACTGGCCTCCAGGCCCAAAGCAGCACCAGGCGAGGAGGAGGGACTTGAACTTCATTTAATTAATGAACCCACAAACCAAGACGTGAGTCAGGCCATCAGCCCGAGCTGGGCAAGGGAGCAGGGCGCCCACGGCCTGGGGGGCGGCCGTGAAGGCCTCCTGTGTCAGGGTGGGCTGGGCACAGGGACAGCAGAGAATGCTATGTCCAGGGGCGGGATGGTGACAGACGTGTCACTGCGGGGAGAGCCCACAGGGCAGCCCTGGGAGATCATCTCCACTGGGCCCTACTGGGCCCCCTTCACTGATGGAAACTGAGGCCTGCAGAGACTGGACAGACCTGAGTGCCCACCCCAACAGCCACTGCAGACCCCTCCGACTTCCCCACTGCCCAGGAGAAACTGCCCACCAGTAAGCTGCCTCTTCCTGAGTTTGCACCCCACACAGGTGAGCTGAAGGCAGGAAGAGCCAGGGAACTCGTGCCCTTGGGACCCCCAGGAACCGCTACCAGCCAGGGACATTCTCACCCAAAGCAGGGCAAAGCCCCCGGCAGCCGCTGGGCTGTGGGGCCATCAGTGCACTGAGGCCACCTCGGGCCAAGACCCAGATGACCAGCTCTGTCCCACAGGGAGTGCCCCGGGCCTCCAGCCAGGTGGGGGGGGGGCAGGAGTAGTGGAGGGTCGTGGTGAGGAGACAGCTCTTCCAGGGAGGAGGAGCACATCTGAGCAGGCCTGCCGATAAGCCCCCCGTGGGGGCCCCTGCCTCTGGGGCTCCCAGCCGAGCAGGAGCTCGGGCAGTGCCCAAGGTGCCGCCCAGGGATACAGTGCCCCCAGGACATCCTCCCCACAGGCATCCTGGCATTTCCCTTCCAGGGTCACCACCCTCATCCCACGGAGGGTCCGCCCAGAGCACACAGGCCCAGGTCCATGGGCACACTCCATGGGCATACACCCCAGGTGGGCACTAGGTCTGGTGGAGACAGTTTCCCAGAATCCACCCCTCACTCCCATCCCCAAATGCTTCTTACACAAAATGGCTGAGCTGGCCCGGGTGAGCAGGGACGAGAGAGCCTGCACGCCCAGAGCCCGTGCACCAGCACACGGGCTGCACACGCAGCGGTGCTCACACAGACCCCGCACACGAACACCCCTGTGCACACGCCAGCCAGGGGCACTGGCCCTGCCCCAGGAGCCAGGAGTTCCCTGGACCACAGGCCTTGGGAGACTAACAGCCCTTCAAGGGCCAGGGCTGGCGGGCCCCAGGACAGCAGCTCCCTGCAGCTGGGTGTCCACTTTGTCAAGGAAGAGTCCAGAGCCCGGAATGAGCAGGGGGTGCCAGGCACACCCCTGCTTCTCCAGCGAGCAGACAGGGGTCAGGGCTGTGGGGGAGGAGTCGGGGATGCAGGCAGGGCCAGGGACCGTGGAGGCACCAGGGAGGAGTCAACTGCCTTGGCTTTGGGCTGGGGGAGGGAAGCAATGTTAGGACCCCTCCCCATCCCAGCGACCCAGAAGCTGGACCCAGATGGAGTGAGCGGCTTGGGGGCTGGGAGGGGAGGCCAGCCCTTCCTCCATCATCCCCTTCTTTGGGGGACCCCAGCCCAGGGGGACCTCCCAGAGTCCAGATCCAGAAGCAGGACGAGCAGCACCGCCCTTCCTCCTTGCTGGCTCTTTGTTTGGTGCAGTGGCTGTGGGGAGGGGCCTCTCAGGGGCTGAAGAGGGGCGGCTGGGGCTACGCTCACCCCATACTTCGGGGGAGGGGCTGATGCAACCCAGCCAGGCCGCGGAGGACGAGGGGGTGGGGAGAGAGCGGAGGACAAGCGCCCCCACCCCAGCCTGAACCCCACACCCCAGAACTCCTTCCTGTCTGATCTTTCCCAAAAGCTTTCCAACCCGCGCCCTTCGCTCTACCCAGGGAACACGGTCCGGTGCCGGCGCGGTGCCGGCTCGCGGTGTCGGGACGCGGGGCTCGGACACTCACACGTAGGCGTGGTAGATGAAGGCCCAGCCGCGCGGCCGCTCCAGCACGTTGTAGAGGAAATTCTGCAGCTTGCGGTAGAAGGCGTTGCGCTTCGGGGGCTTCCCTGCGCCCGCGCCGCCCGCGCGCGGCTTGCTGAGGATGCTGCCGCGCTTGGAGGCCTCGGAGCCCGCGATGAGCAGCGCGCCATCCCGGGTGGAGTCCGGCGCGCCGGGGTCCAACCCTACGAAGCCCACCTTGAGCTTCTTCTCCCCGCTCGGGCCGGGATACACGCCGCCGTTGCGCGACTTCTGCACCATGGTGCCGGCGGCGCCGGGCGGGAGGGGCGCGGGCTCAGCGGGGGCGGCACGCGGGGGGCGGCGCGGGCCGGAGCCCAGGCCCCGGTCCCAGGAGCCGCATGGCCCAGGAGGCGGCGGCGGCGGCGGCGGCGGCGGCGGCGGCTCTGCGCTCCTGCCCGGCTCTGCGCTCCTGCCGGCCCGGGCCTGGTGCGGGGACGCTGCGGCCACCTCGCTCCGCCTGCCGCCTCGCCCCGCCCCCCGTTAACTCCTGCGAGGCCGTGCGGGGCCGCGGGAGGGCTGGGAGGAGCGCGAAGCCAGAGGAGGCAGGACCTGCTGAGCGAGGCATCTCTGCCACCAGGCCGACCCTTCCTGCTCCCCAGGCACGTGCGCCCTGAGGAGGGAACCGGCCCCTTAGTCGCCTCCGAGGTGGACAGCACCAGACAAGCACATGCCTGACGGGCCCTCGCCCTCTGGACTGAGCGCCGCCAAACCAGGAGGCTGGTACCCGCCGCGGGGATCATACTCTTGGCTTCTAGGTGTCCCGGCCTGAGCCCCACCCCCACCCTGTCCTTCGATGGGCAGGGAAGCTCCAGAGAGAACCCCTAAGGGGAGGCCTGAAGAGGGCCGGAGGAGGGGTCCCGGAAGAAGAGTCAGGGAGAGCCACCCCCCACCCCTGCAGGCAGTGGGGCTCAGTGGTCAGAGATGGGCCTGAGAGTTCTGCCCCTGGAGGCCTGGGCTTTGTCCGCAGACCTCTGATGGGGCAGGGGCTGGAGGGCGTGCACCCCAGGCTGAGACAGGCCTGAGGCTCGTGGGGGTGCTGGTGCCACTGCCCAGGACAAAGGCAGGCTCTGGACACAGACTTCCCCTTGGGGGTCGTGGCAGAGGAGCTCGGGCAGCTGGTTGGTCCCTCTGGAGTCGCTTCTGGGAGGCCAAAGGGTGCTGTTCCTCCGCCCCAGGGGACCCCTGAGCACTCATGCTGGCCACGCCCCGCTGCCCCTCTAGCCTCCCTCCCACCTGGACCGAGGTGCCTCCTCCGACCACATCCAGCCTCTTCCCGTGTTCGCCCAGCACCCTGGGGTCTGCCAAGTGAAAGCCCTGTTCAGCAGCCCGGCTCACCAGACAGCTCCTGTTCTGCCCTTCGGGCCCCAAGGCCGGTGGCCCAGCAGCCGTGCCGCCTTTTTCTTTAAATTTGGCAGAAACCATCATGTCTGACCCAGGCATGACGCTGATTTCTGAGCCATCCAGATGCTGGCCATGGGCTGCAGCTTGTGACACACGGGTGGGCGCGTCCCAGGGGCCACACCCTGAGCCCGCCTCCCGCCTGCCCACCAGGTGCCAGCCCCCCCCCCGCAAGGGGAGGGCCTGTGTGACAGAAGGAAGAGATGCCCTGCATCCCCCACACAGCTGGACCCACAGGATGGCATCGGGGTGACTCCCACTCTCACTCTGCGAAGGACTGGACAGAGTGATTGCCACTCAGATGCACAAACCCCAGAGGGGGCCGCCCCACCTGTTAAGGGGAACCCTAGGCTCTGGGTCCCCTGAGCTGGAGCAGCCCCTCCAGGGAAGGCCCTTTGGGGCCTTTGATGTGAGAATGAAGTGAGCCCAAGAAGGACAAGTGATGCTGGGGTGCTGGCTCAAGAGGGAGGCCCCTGCAGCGGGAACACCCACAGAGGACAGCCGGGGCCGGGGACCTGCCGGGACGCAGGTCGGCCTTGGGGCCGCCCCTCTCTTCTCGGGTCTGCAAGGCGCTCGGGGGTTCCGCATGGCGCCTCCTAGTCGAGGTTTGAACCTCAGCTGGTTCTGCCGTGATGCCCTTTCCAGGAGCCGGCTCACGGGTCGCTCACATCTTCAACTTTGTATCACACGCGCACTGTGTGTCGTCAGCCGTCGGGGGCCCCAACACACCCGCACCCCAAGTGAAGCGAGTCGTGACCGCGCTCCGTCGGCGTGAAGTCCATGCATCCCACATACTGGAAATAGACTGGAGCGCTCTCAGGTTCAGACCATAGTTGCCAAGACGCAGTGAGAACCCAGAGAACAGTGGAAAAATTCAGACGCACAGGATGCCCAGCTCGTCCGGACAGGCCTGTGGTCAGTGTGGCAGTGCCAGGCCGGGCGCTGCCCTGTCCGCTCCTCTGCATGGACACTGTCCCCGACTCCATCCCCAGCCTCCTCCTCATCCGGCACGACCCAGCCACGCTGAGCAGCTCGCGCAGACCAAGGGGGCCTCTGTCCTCTCAAAGGCCAGAGCAGAGTCCTCAGAAATGAGCCCTGCCCCCCGCTGGCTTTGCGTCCCCTCCCTGTGGCAACCTCACCCCACAGGCCTGCTCCCTGCCTCTGTGAGCCTCTGGTCACTGTCATAACCCGCAGGACCTGGCACAGATGTTGCAGCTGCCGGGGGGGGGGGGCGTCAAAGCGCAGTGGCACCGTCCCCTCTGGGGGACCTGCAGAGAAACCCTTCCCAAGGGGACGAGGTCAGGAAGCAGGTGGGCGTTCCTGGGTACCCACTTCTCCCAACCCTGGGGGTCCTGCCGACTCACTCTCTCAGCCTTCCCCCGGGACAGGACAGGGGACGTGCGTCGGGAAGAGAGGGCGACCCCCCGCCTGTGGACCCGTTGGGACAGCCCCATCTGCTGCTTCGGCGACACCTGCTCTGCTCACAGGTCACACAGCAGGGTGTATCCCCAGGTCTCAGCCACGCAGACACCTGGGCCGGGGACCTGAAGAGCAGCCTCCGGTCTCGGCACCAGCACCCCACCTCCTCCCCGTAGAGAGGGAACGGGCTCCTTTTCCATCACCGCCTGCGGGAAACAGATGACCCCGTCAGAGCCAGGGAGCGAGCTCCACCAGCCGGGAAACAAGACTTAATTTGGGGAAATGAGGAAGGACAGGTCCTCCATCATCTGGCCGGGGCTGGAGCTCTGCTGTCCTGACTCCGGAGGTTTGGACAACGGGAGTCATGTGCGGACGGAAAGCCCAGCCCCCACACCCCAGGAACGTCCGTTATGACCGGAGGTGTGTGCGTGCAGCTCCAGGGGCCGCGGGAAGTGGGAAAAGACTTAACGTACGAAAGAACTGGTTGTTTTTTAAAAAAAACATCTTAGACTGACTCAATAAAAATTTAATTTATACTTTTTTTCAAAGGCTCAGAGTTCTCAACAAGCCTCCAGCCCCTGGCAAACCAGTGAATCGCTCGAGTGAATTGGCTTGGTCCCCTCGGCCGCTGGTGGCACCTTGATGCCAGGAGCCCACGGCGGTCACCAGTGACCCACCAGTGACCATGGAGGCAGGTGGGGCCGTGAGGTGGCCTGGAGTGTTGGGGAGGGCGGGGGTCCTCGAGGGAAGCCTGATGCGGGGGCCCAGTCCCTCACTCAGCTGCGGGCCAGGCTGGCGTTTGGGAGGCTGTGGCCTCGTCATGTCCCCTCCCACAGCTCTGGACAAATGAAGACTGCCACAGTTGTCCCGTTCCGTGGCAGATAAAACACAAGGAGCAGACAGGCCCACGGCTCATGAGCTGTGATGCTGAGGTGGCTCTTTGACGCTGTCCAAACACTTTCCTCACCACGGACTCTTCACTCCCACGCTGTGGCTCTCAGACCACCCCTCCCCCACCCCCTCCCTCTCCCCAGGTCCCCCAGCAAGGATGGAAGGCCTCAAGCAGGCAAAGGGGCCTTTGCATACACCACTTCCTCCACCAGGAATGCTGTTCCCACCCCTGCACTGGAGGGCCCTGTGCATCTTCCTCTTTTTTTTTTAACTTAATCTTCATCGTTGTTTTTTTATCCTCACCAGAGGACACTTCTGCATTTATCTTCAGGCAGAGCAGGAGAGAGAGAGAGAAACATTGACGTGAACCCACACGACCTCAACTGGGACCAGGGACAAACTGCAACCGAGGTACCTGCCTTAGTGGGAACCGAACCTGGGTCTCTCTGGACCGCAGACCAACCGCTGAGCCCAACCGGCCAGGGCCAACTTGTGCTTCTTGATCCCTTCATCCTCTCACCCATCCCCCCAGCCCCCACCCATCGGGCAGCAAAAAGTTCTCTGTATCCACGAGTCTGTTTCTGTTCTGCTTGCTCATGTTTGTAGATTCAATGGTTGATGGAGATGCATCTTCCCAGGGAGGCTCCACTGTGGGTCTTCCCTCGAGTGCAGACTTCGCGGCTCCCTCAGCTCTGGTTTCGCACCCCCGCTGAAGGTCACCTCCCTCCTGTTCCTCTCCCTCCCCCGAGACAGGGAGCTCAGTAAGGAGGGCCCTGCACCCACACCCCCTTGCACACCCACACCCCCCTTGCACACCCCCGTGCACACACCACACCACCTTGCACACCCCCGTGCACACACCACACCCCCTTGAACACCCACACCCCCGTGCACACACCACACCCCCTTGCACACCCCATGCACACACCATACCACCTTGAACACCCACACCCCCGTGCACATACCACACCCCTGTGCACATCTACACCCTCGTGCACAACCACACCCCGTGCACATCCACACCCCGTGCACACCACACCCCCGTGCACACACCACACCACCTTGCACACCCACACCCCTGTGCACACACCACACCCCCTTGCACACCCACACCCCCGTGCACACACCACACCACCTTGCACACCACACCCCTGTGCACATCCACACCCCCGTGCACACACCACACCCCCTTGCACACCCACACCACCTTACACACCCCCGTGCACACACCACGCCCCCTTGCACACCCACACCCCTGTGCATACACCACGCCCCCTTGCACACCCACACCACCTTGCACACCACACCCCTGTGCACATCCACACCCCCGTGCACACACCACACCACCTTAAACACCCCCGTGCACACACCACACCACCTTGAACACCCACATCCCTGTGCACATCCACACCCTCGTGCACATCCCTGTGCACACACCACACCATCTTGCACACACCACACACTCGTACATATTCATACCCTCATGCATATCCATACCCTCGTGCACACCCACACCCCTGTGCACATAGCACACCACCTTGCACATCCCTGTGCACACACCACCCC